ACGTGATCGCCCGAGGCTAAGGAAAGAATGTTAGCTTCAGCCCCCACCACCCTTTGCCAGGAACCTGTCCCCTACCAGAGCCTTCCTAGCAGAACCCACCTGCCCCAACACCCCCTGGGGGCTCCCAACAGGCCCTGATGATCCTCAAAGCCCCCCACATGCCCCCCATGTCAGGTAGACTAGGGCACTTGGATGGGCGCCGATTTAGGGTGAGAAGGAGGGAGGGGATGTTAGCTTCAGCCCCCACCACCCTTTGCCAGGAACCTGTCCCCTACCAGAGCCTTCCTAGCAGAACCCACCTGCCCCAACACCCCCTGGGGGCTCCCAACAGGCCCTGATGATCCTCAAAGCCCCCCACATGCCCCCCATGTCAGGTAGACTAGGGCACTTGGATGGGCGCCGATTTAGGGTGAGAAGGAGGGAGGGGAAAGGAGTCATCGGGGCCACTTCTTCCCCCACCAGCCACCTGGGGAGCAACTGATGCTGTGGCCAAGACCCTGGAGTAAATGAGGGGGCTGAAGAAAAGTGCACTCCCCTCCCTCCCCCCACTGCTGCCCCTCCCACCCAGCAACCCAGCTGAGGAATGGAGTCAGGGACTTACCCCCTCCATCTGCCCGGTACTCCTGCCAGGGCATGGGGGACAGGGCAGGGACGCTGGTCCTTCTCCGCCCACTTCGGGGCTCCAGCTGAGGCGCGGAGGTCGGGGCCTTGCAAGCCCTCATGACCCAATTCTGCTCCCCAAGGAGACCACTGGGCGGGTGGAGCAGGACAAGCCCTGCACCCCACCCCCAGGAGAGGGGCAAGCCACCGCACCCCAACCCTGGCAGGATGCTGGACGGGCTGAGCAGGGCCAGCGATGGGGCAGGACCAGAGCTGGGATGGGGGGGAGGGGTTGATAAGTGAGTGGGCTGTGGCCAGCCCATATGCTGTACTCCAGGGGTGGGGAACCTCAGACCCGGGGGCCGAGGCTCAGGGGCCTCTCCCAGTACTGGGTAGCCTGCGCTGGCACTCCAGCCCCACTGCTGCCCCACCATGGGGCTGGAACCACAAAATCTACTAGGCCGGGCCGCCCTAGGCTCTGGTGTGTGAGGGGAATGGGGGGTGGGTCTGTCTCCTCTGCTGGAGGCTATGTCAGTGAGGGGTTTCTTGTTTTGGTTTGGTTTTGCTTCCCACTTGTGTGCAGCCCCCGACCTAAAAAAAGTTCCCCAGCCCTGCTGTACGCTCTACACCCCAGTACAGAGGAAGCCCCATGACAGGCGACAGGGGGAGAGAACAGGTGGCTGGTGGGGGTCTGTGGCTATGTGGCTAAGTAGGAAAGAATTGGGGGGGCTTGGCTCTGTGTTTCCCCACCTCCCTCCCTTGTCTCGCCACCCGCTAGGCTACAGCTCGCTTTGGCAGGGATCCTGAGCGTAGGGAAGTGCCCTCACCCCACTGGAGCATGACAGCAGCCCCATGACCACCCCTTCACCTCGCAGAGACTGGGGGCCAGTCCCAAGGGGGTGCAGCGGGGTGCGGTGGATTCACTCCGGAGAGCTGGCTCCAGCCCCGGCCTGCGCAGCTGGGAGACAAACTATCCAAGCACCAGGGCAGGCAAAGCAGGAGAGCTT